GGGATATTTTTCATTTTTAGATTTTATTTGTAGGGGTCTGTGTGTGTGTGTGTGTGTGTGTGTGTGTGTGTGTGTGTGTGTGTGTGTGTGTGTGATCTGAGAGGACTCGGGGGGCTGTGCTCCACAGGGGCCACGTATCCCAGGTCACCTGAGGCTGTGACCATGGGGTTCAGCCTCGCTACCCCTGATTCACAATCACATCACCCTTAGGTTCCTATCGCCCCTCTGGTCTCTGGTGAGCGCGGCCGGTGTTCTCCAGGATGTGGAAGCGGAAGTGACCTCATGGGTTGTCACATGAGTGGGTATGAAGGCAAAGAGCCTGTGAAGTGGGTGGTTGAAGGGCAAGAGGAAGACAGTGGTAGCGAGTGGGAGCGGTTATGCCAGAGAATATAGACAACAATGGGAGAGGTGACTGGTTTAGTAAACAGAGTTGGAACAGTTGACCCGTAGGAAAAAAAAGGGGGGCACAACTGCAGTGTCTGGCGGTCCCTTATTTCGCCTCATCAGCTACAGGAATGACTAGATGACATGGGTGACAAGAGCGATGTCAAGAGACGTCACAGCCAGGTTATCAGAGCATGTGTAGGAAGAAGTGCAGAAAACTGTGGAGGCGTGAAGGGCTGACATCAGGATAGCAAGCTGGAGCCAGAGGGAGAACAAGACCTCTTGGGATGGGAAGGTTGGTGTCTCGCTTTAGAGGAGCTGAGGTTGAGGAATTTAAAAACCAAAATATAAACTGGGTGTGGCACATGCTTATAACCCTAGCGCTCAGGAGGCTGAAGAAGGAACATCTTTGGATCCGAAAAAAAAGCAACCCAAACCAACCAATCAAAATAATTTGAAAATAAAAGAATAAAAAGCACAAACTCTCAACCAGCAATACCTATGGATAGTCTGTCCTCCTCTGACTGTGCTTTTTGACTCTGACTCACAATAAGAAATGCATTTTCATATCATGACCTAATGCAAAAAATATGTAAGAAACAAGTTTTAAATATATATGTTCTTTTTTATTTTTGGTACTGGGGATCGAACTCAGGACCTTGCTCCTGTGAGGCAGGTGTGGTGCCAATGAGCTAAATCCCTGGCCCTCAAATATATATATTCTTACTATATATGATAAAGTAAAATTATAATAAAGTTTGTTTTTGTTTTTGTTTTTATTTTTGGTACCGGTGATCGAACTCGGGACATTGTGCTTGCGCAGCAGGCACCAGAACCACTGAGCTAAATCCCTGGCCCTATAATAAAGTTTGTATTAAATATTATTAATACTTAAATGTAATTAAGAGAAATTCCAAATAAATAATATGAAAACAAAATTGGGAAACACTGGAGCCAGAAAAATGTGAGTCTCATTTCTAGATTCATACAAACTTCTTAGTACTTTCTCTGAAGATGACTGATAAGCTTGGGAATGGAAGTCTTCAAGATCTGAACAAAGCATTTTAAAAGCCCAGTTATTTAATTATTTATAATAACAAAAGACTAGAAATAACCCAATTATCCATTAAGGGGAAACTGGTTGGATTAACTACAGTATATACATGTAATGGAATTCCATGCAGATGGAAAAGGAGTACCTTTATTTATTTATTTATTTCTGGTACTGGGGATCGCACTTGGGACCTTGCACTTACCAGGCAGGTAGCAGCACCACTGAACTAAATGCCTGGCCCAGGAGAACCTTTATATACTGCTTACAGTGATACCCCAGCCATATTAGTAAATAAAGCAAACAAAAAGTGCGTATAGTGTCCTGGAAGGATGGAAAGGATAGAGGAAACAGAGATAGAAGCCAGACCTCTCTGATTATATCTTATTTGATACATTTAACTATGGATCATGTAAACAATTTACATGGTAATAAAGTATGTAATTTAAGACTCTTCTTTTTTTTTTTTTTTTGGTTCTGGGGATCGAACACAAATAGGGTATATAATAGGAACTTGCTAAGAAAACTTAACATTTTTTAATTTAACAAATTTAAAAATTGAGAATAATCCCTAATATCAAATATTCAGTTTATATTTAAATACCCTTCCTTTTCCTCAAATACCTTTTATCATTTCTTTTTCCCCTGGCCCAGGATTTAATCAGTGCTTATTTGCTGAATGTGATTTTTAACTTTTGTTTTTGTTCTAGATCCTCTAGGGCCTCACCCCCAGGTCTTGATGGTTAACTTTTTTTTTTTTTTTCTGGTGCTGGAGGTGAAGCTCAAGGTCTTGCACATGCTGAGCACATGATCTATCCCTGAGCTATACCTCCAGCCCTTCTTAACTCTTTTTAATTTACATGAGTCTCCCTCTTGTTTTGTTTTTAACAACTTTGACATTTTTAGGAATTCAGTCCTGCTTTCTTATAGATTCCTAACCTTCTGGATTTATCTGATGTGTCCTGAGGGTGTCATGTTATCCTGTCGTCTACGTGCTGTCATTCCTGTAGTTTTTTAAACTGGAGTTTGGGGGAGCTGGGGATTTAGCTCAGGGGGGCTGGGGATTTAGCTCAGTGGTGCCACGCCTGCCTTGCAAATGCAAGGTCCTGAGTTTGATGCACAGTATTGCAAAAAAAAAAACAACACAAAAACCCTGGAGTTTAGGCCTGTGACCCTGGTTTCTCTCCATCACATTCTTCACACTGTGACTCAGAATATCCTCCTGTAGCTGTTTATTATGTCAGTCCCCACACGAATGTGAGCTCCGTGGGAGCCTGGATGTGTGTCTGTGTAGAGACCTGCCCTGATTGGTGAGTAAGTACAGAGTGGGCCTTCAGCATGGATTCATGAAATGAATCAATCCATCACATTCAGTGGCTTTATCAGCCTCAGCACCATTTAATATCTACTGAGAAATCACTATAATAATTTGTCCTGTTTCTTAGAATATCTCAATTTTTTAAGCCCCCAAAGTCTAAGAATGTCTGTATCTTATACTCAAACTTGATGTTTTGCCCTAGCATTTTTTGTTTTGATTTTGAATGTTTTTTTGAGACAAGGTTTTGCTTTGTAGTGCAGGCTGGTCTTGAACTCACTATGTAGCCCAGGTTGACCTCGAACTCAAGGCAACCTTCCTGCCTCAGCCTCCTAAGTGCTGGGATTACAGGTGTGCACCACCATGCCTGGCTTGTCCTAGCATTTTGAAGACATGCTTGGTTTTCCTCTTCCAGTGTGGAAGGCCCAAATCTATTTTTTTTAATTTTAATTTTTATATTTTATGTTTGCAGCATACAATGATTGCATCCATCACGGGGAGGTGATACCTGTACATAACACATCTTAGTTCCTTTTACATTCCCTTCCCCTCATTTCCCTCCCACTTGAGCTTGCAGATCTCTTTTTATGCTGCAGCTGGTTGCATAGCCAGACGTTCCATGGACATGGCCTGTTTTCTTTTCCCTGTCTTTGTTATTTCTGCTGCTTCCTTGATCAGAAGCTGATAGTTTGCTCTTTTTTCATTTCTCTGGGAACTCTGATCCCACAGAGATCAAGATAGAACTATTGGGAGTGGGCAGAATTGTAAAGATAAGCTCCAACCTGAGTAGTAGGCTCTTTTCTTTTTTGGTTTGGGGGATCGAACCTGGGACCTTGTGCTTTCGAGGCAAGCACCGGAACCAGTGAGCTAAATCCCCGGCCCCTCTTTTTGACAAAGAGCTAACATTTCCTGAATTCGTGTCATTATCAGAGTAATGTAATTGGCACCATGCTCAGCACTTTACATGTGCTCTACCATTTAATCCTTCTGCAACCCTTTGCCATAGCAACTTTTGCTCTATCAAGTCCACCAAACTAGAAACTGCCAATGCCAGGCCCCAGCCCAGAAAAAGCCTGACCCCAGAGACTACCGAAAGCCACTTTTCTTAACTGCCTCTTCCATTCTTTCCAGATCTCCCCAAACTCAGTTTCCTGGCTGCCAAAGCAAGCTCTGCACTTCTGCCTGGGGGTTGGGATGAAGCTATGAAACAACCCTTCCATTCATTCAGTGAATGCTGTGGAAAAAGTGCTTCCACGGCAAGTTTTTAGGAATATAAATGCCAAAAACTCCAGTGATGTTTATTTTGTTTCCCAAATCTGTACCTTTCTGAGATCATCACTCCCAGCCTCCTCTAGTGACTCTGCAAGCTAAGGAATTGTCATCTCTCTTATAAGAAACCTGTGTGGCACAAGGTTAATGCTTGGGCAGTTTCCATTATGTGAAAGTCCCTTGGGTTGCACTGCACAGTGTACTAATTATGATCCCAATAATCAGATTTCTGGATGACATTTTCACCTGGGATATCAGATGCATTCCATCAAGGCCACAGATGGACAAATGAAGATCAAGACATGGTGACAAATGCCAGCTACTTTGTAAGTATAGATGTTTTAAACTATCTAGGTAGCTAGAGTTTTATGTACACATATAATCTCCTTTTCTTTTTTCTTTTTTATTTTTTTTTGGTACCAGGGATCTAACACAGGACCTTGCACTTGCCAGGCAGCCATGGTGCCAATGAGCTGCATCCCTGGCCCTCTTTTTTTTAATAGTCTCCTTTTCTGCCAAAATTAAAAATGCACACATTCGGGGAAGTTGAAAATCTGAGTGGTTTTATATATTTCTATTCTGTCCTTTCTTTGTATATTCCCAAAGATCCCTGTTTCTTGCAATAGGATGTGTTAAAGTGACGTTATTTTTTGACTTTTGTTATAGTGCCCTTATCAATTCATTCAGCAAACATTGAGCACTTACTGTGTGTCAGCTGGGAATACAAAAAAAAGAACAACAAACAAAAAGCTGGCCCCATTTGTTGCGTTAAGATGGGTGTTTCAGCAAGGAGACTACAAGACATCATGAGATGGGCCAGGAGAGTGTAGCGCACTAAGTGTGTCAGGATCTGCAGTAGGACGGTGCCGGCCCCTAGGGCCTGGTTAGGGGGACAATGAGAGAAGGCTTCTTGGTGGAGATGAGCCTTTTTAGGCTGGATGTAAAATGGTGAGATTGGGAGCTGGGCGTGATGCAGCATGCCTGCAATTGTAGCACTCAGGCAGCTAGGCTCAGAGGATTGTGCTTTGAGGCCACCCTGGCCTGTATAGCAAGGACTACATAGAATGATCCTGTCTCAGAAAGGGGCTGGCTGTTGAAAAGAGGTCAAGAGGTGAATATGGAGCTGGGGATATAGCGAAGTGGTAGAGCACATGATCAGCATGTGCAAGGCCCCAGGTTCCCTCCCCAGCGCTTCGGGGAGGCCGGTGGGGGTGGGGTGGGGTGGATGGCAGGTGGACACTGAGGTGCTAAGCAGAAAGAACAGTGTTACTGAGATGTGGTGACAGGAGACTGCACAGCTTGTTTAGAATAAGGCAAGGAGCAGAAAGAATATTGTAGAGACTGGTACGATGTGAGCCTGAGGAGGACCTTGATTAAAGAAATTCAACTTTGCTCTGTAGGTGATAGGGAGAATGACACCATCATATCTGTGTTTTACACAGATAAATTACTAAACTAAAAAATGGAATCACCTGGGAGCAGCTGATTTCCTGAAGATGGGCGTTCAGGGCAGCAAGAGACATGATTATTAGATCATTACAAGAGTTCAGGGTAGAGAGGGCAAGGTTATGAAGCGACTCAGATAGAGGGCGAATAAAAAGAAGAGGATATTCGGGGTGTGGTGGTCCACACTGTAATCCCAGCACTCTGGGAGGCTGAGGTAGGAGACTCAAGAGTTTGAGCCTAAAATGGGCAATTTAGCAATTTAGTGAGACACTGTCTCAAAACTTTAAAAGGACTAGGGATACAGTTGGATGTGAAAGCACTGGGTTTAATCCCTAGTACCAAAAAAAAGGATACTTTTAGAAATCTTGGGGCTGGGGATGTAGCTCAGTGGCGCCACTCCTGCCTGGCAAGCACAAGGTCCTGAATTTGGTTCCTGGTACTGAAAAACAAAACAAAACAAGACAAAAAAACTAACATCTAGAAGCCTTGTTCAGCAGACAGGACTGGCTGGTTCATTCTGAGTAGGTGGTGAAGAAGGAAAAACTGGGTTAGACAGCAAAGGCTGCCAGGTACTGTCAGGGACTTCCTCTGCAGTGGGCCCTTAGCTTTCATAATCTCATCTAACCACACAACAGCCCTATAGGAAGGATTATATTATTGTTTGCATTTTACGAGTAAGGAAGGTGAAGCCCACAGTAGTCAATCTAAGTGATATAGCAGTAGGTGGTGATAGTAAGTGGTGGAAGTAGGGTTTGAACTCAAAGAAATCAGCACCCTGACTCACTGTGAGTAGCTTTGCCAGCTGACTGGATTATCAGTGCCAAGTGATCAGGAGGTGACCACCCTAGGCAGTTGTTAAGGATGGCAGATTCAGGGCTGGAACCCATTGGAAGCATTTTCTCCCAAAAGTACATAATCAGGCTCCTGTGTGCAATATCAGGACATAGATGTGTTATGTTTGGCAATTAGAGTGTTTTAAAAGCATTTTTAGAAGTCATTGCTAACTTTATTATTTATTTATTTATTTATTTATTTTGGTACCTGGGATCGAACTCTGGACCTTGCACTTGTGAGGCAGGCGGGCTAACTTTATTTTTAAAAGTATTTTGGGTTGGGCTGGGGATTTAGCTCAGTGGTTCTGGCATCTGCCTTGAAAGTGCAAGGTGCCGAGTTCAATCCCCGGCACCAAAAAAAAAAAAAACTGGATTTTTTTTGAAGCAGAGTCTTGCTTTGTAGTTCAGGCTGGCCTTGAATTCATAAGTAGCTCAGGCTGGCCTCAAAGCAATCCTCCTGCCTCAGCCTCCCTGGGATTATAGGTGTTTGTCACCATGCCTAGCTATCATTGCTAACTTTTCAAAATTTGGAGATTCATACTAAAAACTGCATTTCTGGCTCTTTTTGAAAAATGAGATCTGGCCACACTTGGCACATGCAGCAGCCAGGGCTGCTTGTGTTTCCTTCAGCTGGGGCCTGTGTTCCCTGTGGGAGGGCCCAGCCAGCCTGCCTGGGAACCCTGCTCGGCTCCACAGGGCCAGAGTTTGTGTTGTGCTCTTCCACAAATACCTGTTTGCCAGCCTGGACTCACATTGAACTTAATGTACAGAAACATTGCCACTCAGCTCAGTCAGACTCCAGGCTATACTGGAATGCACGTCAAGCCTGGGCCTCCATGGATAGCTAAGTACCTTTTTCAAGTCTTAGGGAATATAAGGGAGAAATGACCATGGTTTTGCTTTGTTTGTTTTTTCCCTTCATGTTGTGGGAATTGAGGAAAACTCAATACCCACCCATGCTTGAGTGCCCATAGGGAGAAGGGTTATGTACCATTATTGCAGGACAAAGGTAAACAGTAGCAGTTCCTGAAACCTGTAGAGATTAAAATACAACATGCATAGTACCGTGGAAATTGGGAAAAGTAATGGCCTACCACTAGTATGCAAATTATATTGCAGGATTTTTTTTTCATTTACTTTGTGCTGTAATGAATCATTTGCTTGGCTTTTGAGCTGTGTACTTTGGATGTTTTATAAGGAAGGGTTAGGAGAAAACCTGTGTACGGGGATGAACCACATCTTATATAGCTTGAAATTTTCTACAGATATTCAGTTCTGGAAAATGATTAGAAAGTTTTATGATTTAGCTGGGTGTGGTGGTTCATACTATAATCCCAGCACTTGGGAGGCTGGGGCAGGAGGACTGCTGTGAGTTTGAGGACAGTCTGTGTTATGTAGTGAGTTCAAGGCCAGTCTGAACTATATAGCAAGACCCTGTCTCAAAAAACCAAAGGAAAAAAAAAAGAAGAAATGATGTTTCTGTACTATTAAGTTAAAATGTGTGTCCCAGCCTGGCAAACAGGTATTTGTTTGTATTTGAGATTTTTGTTATTAAATATTTTAAAAGACAACACTAATGGCCTGTGGCCATCATCAAGTTGGACAAATGACCACATTTTGTTTCTGTGAGTTTATCAGCAGTTTGTCAACTGCCCTCAGATGACAGGTGCGGACAGGTGTAGGAAGTCTGGCTGACACCAGGGCTGTGGCAGTTTGCCCCCTGCAGTCAGATGTCTGTGTTCTTTTTTTTGGTACCGGGGATTAAACTCGGGTCCTTGCGCTTGTGCAGCAAGCGGCAAAACCACTGAGCTAAATCCCCAGCCCAGATGTCTGTGTTCTTGGTGTCATACCAACAACTTTCCATCATGCCTGGCTGCCTGATTCAGGAATTAGAGGCAGATGGGCTGCTGCTCCTGGCCACAAAGTTGTCACTGGGCACAATTCCAGGGCTACCATGTCACAGAGGCTCATTTTCCCTCCTGTCAGACCATGCCACCCTGCTCCCCCCTTGTGAGAGCCCAGCCTTGAAAGCTTTCTCCTGGGAATGAGAATTAATCACACGAAGTTCCTGTTCAAATCACTTTGGTCTTGGGAGCCATTTCTACCCAGATGACATGGATCTTGCAAGGTCACAATATTCCACTCCCTGGACTCTGACCCCTGCCTGTCATTTTCTCTTTCCTCACCTCAGAGATGCCCTATGCCCCAGAAGCACACTTAGGATGGAACCTGAACATGTATCATGGCCAGTTCTTCTGTTCCCTTTGTATAATTTCTCACTGGTGTAGACAGGTGCTCAACATAGGGCATTTAGCAGCCCACTGAGCTGGGGTTGAGAAACTCTGTGCAGGGACAATTCGGAACCAGAGAGCACTCTGTTCCTGCCCCAACAGCTGGTGTTTTTTCTGTCACAGCACACTTTCATTTTTGTGATGTTGCCTATAAAACATAGGCTCCCCCAAAAAAGATCTGTCCAAATTCAAGGCAAAGTTCTACTACTTACTTATTCACTTAACAAGTATTTATTAAGCACCTGTCATTTCTCAGAACCATTCCAGATGCCAGGATGATCATAACAGAGAACAAAACTGACCCTGTCGTCTTGAAGCTTACATTATCATGGAAAGAAACACATGCAGAGTCAATGTGTAAAATATTCTAAGAATTTTGAAGAAAAATCAAGCAGGATAAGGGTGAAAGAAGGAAAGTGGGAGGGTGGGCTGCTCTCAGGAAGGCTTTTCTGATGAGGAGGGGTCATTTGCAGGTGGGGAGCAGCAAGAGCAGAGCCTCTGAGGTTTGTCCCTGGCCTGATGAAGATGGGAAGCCACTTTTCCTGTCTGCATGTCCAAGGGCTTTTGGGGAGGAACAACAAAATCACTGATGTGAAAGCATTTGTGTAAACTATCAAGCACTGGACACAAGTTACTCTCTTTATGTTGACTTCATCAAATATTTGTAGAGTGTCTAAATCATCAAGGATTGTAATTATTATATTACAGTTATGCCCTTTCATTTTTTATTATTGAGGTGAAATTCACATAGCATATAATTAACCATTTGAAAGTTATAATTCAGTAGCATTTTGTGCATTCACAATGTTGTACTAGCACTACCTCTAGTTTCAAAGCTTTTTCATCACCCCTGGCCTTTAATTTTTCATATTAATTTATGTTATCACTCCTGAAATAAGATTCCTCCCATATCCGACTTTGTTCCTTCTGTTCCTGATGGACCTGTACCAGCTCTTATGATTCATCCCTGTGTTTATTCAATGGATATTTATTGACCACATACGTAAAGCACTATGCTAGATAGGTCTTGGAGATACAATAGTAACAATGATAGGCAAGTCCCTACATTTAGGGGACTCAAAATCTACTAGAGAGTATAGACACTGAACAGATAACTGACAGAAACTTAAATTATGGTATATGCTTTGAAGAAAAAAATTTTTTAAAATTGTTAAAAACATTCGTGAGGGCTGGGCATGGTGGTGCACCCCTAGAACCCCAGCCCTCAGGAGGTTGAAGCAGGAGGATTGCCATGAGTTCAAGGCCAGCCTGGGCCACATAGTGAGTTCAAGGTCAGCCTCAACTACAGAGCAAGACCCTGTCTCCAAAAAAAACCCCCAAAACAAAACATTATTAAAGCTACTAGAAGAGAACTGCCACTCTTAGAACAACGTGGCTTTTTTTCCCCATGACTATGTTTTTATAATTGTGCTCCTAGTTCAGGAGCACTGGGAAGAAAGCCTGCCTCAGGGAAGTGAGTTGGATTAGGTTAAGGCAAAAGTAGGCAGGCACAGATTAAAAAAAAAAAAGTATGGCTCCAGATATTTGCTCCTGAGAATAACTCTTTGAGGTAAGCAAAGACTGATCACGTTTTCATCGCTCCCATTTTATAGAAATGGAAACTGAGGCTCATACCAGAGTGCCCTGCCTAATGCCACCTGGTGGGGGGGGCGGTTATTGAAATTTCGTATGTCATTTAACCACCAGGCTAGCGAACCTGAAAAGCCTTTTGCCCAGCAGAGGGCAGTCACAAACTTGGCTGGGAGAAGGAGACCTGCAGGCTCGCGCGGATCGGCCCAGCATGCACTCAGCGTCCAGCAGAGGGCGCGGTGAGCTGGCCTCAGATGGCCTTGCAAGGCTGGGGGCGGGGGGCGGGGGGCGGGGCGGAGCGGGCGGTTCCCTAGCCTCCTGACACAGCCTATGCTCAGCGCCCTCGGGCTTTTTCTTGTACACTAGTGCGTGCCAGTGTTAACCTTGATGCTTGCTTGTTCCGTAATCCAGCTGTGGAACAACAAATCAGAGCAAGCCACCGAGTCCTCTTGAGAGCTGATGACCAAGGTGACATGGGTGCTGGCCCCCATCCCCATTCTTACCACCTGCCAGGTGCTGCACAAACCGCCTGCCTGGCAGATCTCTTGGCCATGGTGCCAGGCCTCACGTCCCTCATGTAGGCATTACCTTGACTTTCTTGAGGCGGGATGACCTGGCAGCGTTTGCACCCCACCCTCCCCTGGTTTCGCTTTCCTAATGTTGTTAAAAGTGCCTTCTAACTGAAGGAGGATGGTAGAACAGGTTTCAGCCTTTTACTTAGTTTTTTTATATGCTCGTTTGTTGATGATTTCTTCTTTAACAAAGTCCCTTTCCCGCTCCTTCAGGAAGATGCCCTCTTTGGCATTTGTCCAAAGTCCAGGTTCTAATAGCTTTTGACTATGGTTTAATTTTAACCATAAAGCTTTCTTTTGGAATAATTACTTTTAATCCAGAAAGGACCAGTTTGATACAGGGCCATAAACAGCTCCTTCCCAGAGTCAGTAGACAATGATCATTTACTTCTAACATATCTCTTTAAAAGGAAAGACTGGTGGGGGAGGGTGGCGAAAGTGGAAATTGTGGATAGATAGACCCGTTGAGGGACTGTTTGAACGTCTGCTTTAATTAATTTAATGATCCCTGTGGGATGTAATGGAGTGCAGGCTGGAGAAAGAGTGAGGGGCCACAGACAGAGCCCCCTGCCCAGTGACTGAGCTGCTGGGCACAGCGTGGCCTCTTTTTGTGTGTGTGTGTGTGTATGTGAGACAGACAGGGTCTCACTATGTAGTCCAGCCTGGCCTTGAACTCACTATGCGCCCAGGCTGGCCTCGAACTCTCGGCAACCCTCCTGCCTCAGCCTCTGGAATGCTGGGATAACAGGCATATGCCACCATCGCTGGCAAATTGGGGGGTGGGGTGGCCTCTTATCAGAGGTGTCCTGAGCAACCCTGTGGCCAGTTTTCTGGGAAAATCTTCATTTCTGAAACAAAATACATGCTAGCCCTTTGTCAAATGCCAGATTTCCACCAATGCTTGGTTCTGAAGATGTGGTCACTTGAGAAGCCTGTTGGCAGCCATCTCCTTAGGAGTGACCTGATCAGGCAGTCAGGCAGAGTGAGGGTCCCCATAGCCCCCTGAACTGGCCAGAGTCTTTCTAATTTCACTTCTTCCCATATAATGCAAGTTCTTTGGTAATAATTACTTGTATTTGTAAAACCTTAAAGAAGTTTTGGTGTATTAGGGCAGAAATTGGTTGTCTCCCTTTTTATAGTAGAGATGGAAAACTTCTTATTTGGCAATGAAAAAATTTAAAACGAGAGGAAAATAGGATGTGTGTGGGGACTATTTCTAGAAAAAAAAAAATGTATCCTAGCCTCTCCGAGGGAAGCAAGTTTGGGAACTTCATTTTATAGAAGTAGTCTTCAGTAGCCAGGCATACTGTAATTCCAGCACTCAGGAGGCTGAGGTAGGAGGACCACCATGAACTCAAGGCCAGCCTGGGCTATGTAGTGAGTTGAAGACCATTCCAAACTACACAGTAAGACCCTGTCTGAAAAAAAAAAAAAAGAAAGAAAGAAAGAAAAAAAGAAAGAGTCTTTACCATAGATTCATGCTTAGGTTTACTTAAGTAAATGCTCTATGCCCTTCTGGAACATTTGAGGGGGAAGGGAAGATAGAAAAATCAAAGAGTAATCATCAGTTACCAGTGGAAAATCAGTCTTAAATGAAAATCAAGTATCTGATTACCCAGTAAGAGATTAGCCTTTGGGCCTGGAGGTCTAGCCCAGTGGTAAAGCATGTGCTTAGCAGGTACAAGGCCCCAGGTTAGATCAAAAAAGGAGGAGGAGAAGTGGGAGAGGGACAGGGAGGACTAAGAGGTGGAGATGAGCCTTCCATTTAGCAAAATCTGCAGATTTGCCAGGTGCGATGATACACACCTATAATCCCAGCACTCTGCAGGCTGAGGCAGGAGGATTGGGAGTTTGAGGCCAGCCTGGCTACACAGCAACACCCTGTCTCAAATAAACAACAACAACAAAATAAAACAAAAATCTTCAGATTCTTAAATGGGCAGATGGAAAAAGCCAGGTATATACACACGAGCCTGTTAGTGCCACCAAAGCTCTGAGAGGCAGGTCCTTTCATAGCTCATAACTGCTGTGGCTGCTTGTCCAAACACTCTGTGCATGCCTGATCACCACATCTGTTAGTTGTATTTGAGTGTGTGTGTGTAAGAAGAATGATCCATTCACTCATGACCTATGCACAGAGTCAGAGCCTAGTGCTCCTCAATTTGCTCACCTCTGGAAGAAGTCTGAAGAAGAGAAAAAGTGAAAATTTCACACATCTAAGGGAAAACAAGCACTGTAGAGATGAATTTAAAAAAATAGAATGCCAAGTTAATTGTGGAGTTGGATCACTACTAAGAATGTGTTTCTGTTTTGTCACTTGGTTTCTATCTCAGCCTACCAGCTCAGACCTGTGCCTGAGCGACTTGGGCAGCTCCTTTGTTCCTCAGGCTTTCTTCTTGACCCCAACCTGGGGCGGTCTCTCCATTTGGACCCGGGCTACTGCACTGCAGGACACCCCTCTCTCCTAGTCCCTCCTATGTACCTGCCAAGGGTGAAAGGTTGCGATGGCACTCTTGGGGTGACACTAGGCTTTCCAAAGGAAGTTGTCACTCCTAGGCTCCTAGTAATGAACCCTGGGAAGTGACAGCTGGGCATTCATTCAGCTGGAAGGGAGATAGTACAGATCTTAGATCCCTATCTAGTAGAGGTAAGTCACTCTAAGGAAGGACTCATCTGTATTTCAGCTAGTTTGGTGGTGGAAGAGTGGGACTGGAAATTATTGTACCATGAATTTCCCTTTTTCCCCCCAGTACTGGGAATTGAACTCAGGGCCTTTGTACTGGGCTACATCCCCAGGCTTTTTTTGTTGTTTTTGTTATTGTTGTTGTTATTTAAATTTTTAATTTTGAGCAAGGTCTTGTAAATTGCCCAGGATGAGCTTAAAGTTGTGATCCTCCTGCCTCAGCCTCTCAGAGTGCTGAGATTACAGGGGTGTAACACCATGCCCAGTGCACTGTAAATTCTTAGTATGTCATAATTGTTTTCTCAAATCTGTACAACTAGCACACATAGGATTGGAACTTATCTTTATCCAGGTTCTATCCCTGAAAGCACAGGAAAAATCAGTGAGAATAACAGTTGGAAAACCAGAAACTCACATAGGAGACTTGGTTATGAGGACAGGTGTCAGAAGTCATGGGATATTCAGAGGGTGGCTCTAGCAGTGTGAGGACAACATTACCTATTGGTCATTAAAAAATTCCCTCAAAAAAGAAAAAGAAAAAGTAAAATTTCCTCTAAATACTCTAATCCCTGAGAGAAAGGAATGGAACGAAGGCCTTAAGTCAGAATATATGCAGTTGACCTAATATAAGGTTGTCTATTTGTTTAATTAATAGATACTTCTGTGGTGTGGGACAGCAAGGTCACGCATAGCCCTGTATATTAACAACGCTGTCTTGAAGCTCTGGAAAAAGTGGTGACCAAGTGTTCAGCTACAGTCTTGTTCTGTCTTAGTCTCCAGGCTGGCATGGATCAGAAACGGAGGAGAATATTGAAGCAGCATCCCAAATATTAGTTCTGAAAAACAAATGGATACGGAAGAACAAACGAGCACCTTGAGATCCAACCATGGCCCAAAGAGGCTGCAGATGAGTTGCCACGCCCTGAGGTGCCTCTCGGGGAGCCCTGGAGGCTCTGACTGACTGGAGTCACATGTCACAGGGTTGCTGACAGGGTGTTTGCTGTGCTCGTCATCCTGTAAGTGAGACACTACACAGCATTTGTTTGCCAAATTGTGGTACATTATGCAAATCTAAGTTAAATTAATACTTAGAAATACAGATAGGAAAAGCTAGAAAAGCCCTGTAACAAAGCATGATTACTGAGATTAGAGTGCTTTGAACTTGAGCATTAGAGAATCTTTCGAATTTGTAGGATTAAGCAGGAGGCATACCCCTCTCTTAGGAGAAACATGCACATTTGTAAAGGATCCTAGCACCGGGGGAGAGGTATTTTGGGTAGCTTGGGGTTCTTATGAGGGAAGGAAAGAGCCAAAACATCTCCCAATACCAAGAGTAAATTTCCTCTCCACAAAACACTGGAGTTTGATTGTCTGGGTTGGTTAACTGGGCAGAAAAATAAACTGTGAGGAAGAAACCCACGCATGGCTCTGGAGGAAGTGGTCAGGGTGAACACCACCCAGGAGCCTCTTTGATTTTCAAAGAGTTGAGCCCCAGACCTTGCTGTGAGATGTGAAGAGTCACTCCAAATTTATAAGCTCATTAAACAAGTACTTTTGACTGTCTACATGTATGGCTTTAAAAAAATACACAGACTGCTTCCAGCCACACCTAGACCTTCTCCAACCATTTAGCTGACAGTTTTTTCTTCTAATTACTCAAGTGAGCGTCTCTGTTATTTACACAGTTTGTGGAAGGCAGAGGAGAAGGGATTTGTGGTTTAGTACCTTGGCAGGGCATAGGGGTCAAGTTCAGCCCATCTTCTGAAATCAGTCTGACCTGTCAGGCTACCAGAGACCGCTGGAGTGTTGCCCGCTCCCCCATAAGGTGTTTCCCTGATTTGCTCTGGCTGGGAGCCAGGAACGGGTTTTGAGTTCATTTGTGCTTCTTTACTGACCTTATTGGTGAATAGTGGCTGGTTTGCCTAAAAGCTCACCCCACCCTCTCTCTCTGTTTTCCTGTGATCTTAGGGATTGAACCCTGAGGTGCTCTACCACATCCTGAGCTCTGTTTATTTAATTTTGAGACATGGTCTCACTAATTTGCCAGATTGGGTTTGAACTTGTGATCCTTCTGCCTCAGCGTCCTAAGCAGGTGAGATTACAGGTGTATACCACCACACCCTTTCATTTTTGATTTGACAAAATGAGAAAGTGTTGCCTTTTCCTTCTTTCTTTCCTTCCTTGGATGTTGGGAAGATTGATGGGATAATGGTCATAAAGTCCTTTGAGCTACCTCAAGAAGAGTATAACCCAATTCATTACTGCACTTGCTTCTGCTCATAAATCCACACTGTCTACAGTTCCTGTCTGCAGGCCTGGGGTGGTGCCCAAGACCACAGAAGGAATGCTCCCGACACAGTCACACATGGTCCTGTTGGTTGGAGTTGGTCATTCCTGACCTTGACATCAACCATCTTAATCTCCAGAAATAGGCTAAATGCTAGTCCGGCCACTTGTGTCTCTTCATCATCTCCAGGGCGACTGCATATTTCCAGCCTCTGTGCTCCAGGATCTAATAATAGGTGGGATGAAAAGACTGTTTCCTCTGATGCACTTTTATGAGATGTTTTCAAAGAGGATGCGGTGGGGGAATGGATAAGCTGCTCGCTCAGTACAGTGAGGCGTCAGAATGACGGGGCAGGGAAGCCCCACCTTCCCAGGGAGCTCTTGCTCAAGACAGCCCAGTTGTTAGAGGGCCAGGAATCCGGGAACATCAAGGCAGCCTCAGACCTTGTAACCTAGATGTCATTGTGCTTTTCAGGCAATGATGCCTGATCACTGCAGGCAGAAGTGTGGCCAAAGGGCACCTATGGGCCCGAAGCCCTTTCCACAGCAGCTCTGCTTGGGTAATGGTGCTTCATTAAGCCTGTGATGTTTAGGGATGTCAGACATCTCCTTAACCCTGAAACACCTTTTGCTCGTGAGTGGTAAAGAGTTGGATTTCTTATCAGAAGAATATTTTAGCTATGTGCCCTGGAGAGGAACTACTGTCCCCATGAGGGGACAGCAAAGCCTCAAGGACAAAGGGATTTCCTAGAGACAATGTCAGGAAGGAGGGAGGTACAGAAGGGGACTCTGGAGTCAGCCTGGAAGTTGGGGTTGAGGGAACTCATTAAATCTGTTAAGAGGAGCCTAGATGTTTTGAGCAAGAACAGGGCAGCACCAAAGCTGGGAGAGATTGTGAAAATGGTTCAGTGTTTCTGGAGTCTGGGAGGAGAAACTTAATTATGCTATTTAATTAAACCAAAAGGAAGGGAATAGAATATTTGGTTGCCAAAAGGTGCTCTTATAAAAAACTGTGGGCTGAGCTGCAGCACTGGGTACCAACAAAGGCATGGGAGGCAGTGCATCAGGAAGGACAGGCAGCAAGCTCCATGGCTGCAGGTCATCCTTGATGTGTTTCTGCCATCAGAATTTGCCCTTGATGTCGGGACTCTTCATTTATGCATGTTTGTGCTGTTAAGATTGTCTTCTGAGTCATTTGAGATTTTTAAGAATATGTTGCCAAAGTCAACAACCAACAGTTTAGGGTGGCCTGGTCCACCCAGGTCTGGTCCAGGAGGGTCAGGACCCTGCCTCACTCTCACCATTTCCTGTGGCCCTTCCTCCCTACCATCCACCACATGGCACTCCTGGGCCACAGGTGGCTATCAGCCTTTTGCCTTCCTCCTGCAAAGTTGGGCTCTTCACTTGGGGAGTGTGTGTATACTCACACATGTACATGCTCGCTCACAAGTGTGTGTGCACACTCGCACACATGCCCAAGTGGGTGGGGAGGAGAGAGTTCTGTTCCCTTGTGGTGATTGCCACCAACCAATCAGCTGGACTCTGAGCCGAGCCAAAGTGAAGCAAGAGCGACATCGGGTGCCAAGAACAAGAGCTTGCTGTGATATCAGGTGTTTTCTGGCCTCAGTGTGTAGGAGCAGAGAGAAAGGCTTGGCTCATTCCAGAGCCTTCACTCCTAGGGAGCAAGGAGTTTCTGGATGGGGCTTCATGTCAGTATTCTGCTCTGCTCGTTTGCATGAGGGAATTAGACGCAGACTTGAGGCTTTGAATGGATTTTTAAAATAAAAATCAAGGCAAAGGTTTTGTTGGCTAGAACATGACACAGGGACCCAGGTCAACATTCTAACCCTGTACCTGCCTGCAGTGTCCTCTGGAGGATAACTGTGCCGATGTCTTTAGTGGACTACGTAAAAGTCTGACCTAGTTCACAGAGGTGGCGTGTTTGCTCTGGAGGCTGCTCCTGGGGCAGGCTTCCTGTAGCTAGAGTCAACCTCATTTAGCCAGAGGTAGGGAGCTAAAAGGTATTCCTGTGGAATGGCTCCCTGAGAAGGGCTGGCCTGGCTTCCACAAAGATGCTTTGGGGGACAGGATGTCATGGGCTACCTAAAGAGGATCCCCCCATGCAGGTGGGAAAGAATATGGTCATGTTATTTGCCATTCAGCTGGTCCTTCTTCTTAGCTGGAGCCTGCTTGGCTTTTTCCTTCATGGAAGATAAGGCGGGGAAGAGGTTTGTTTGTCCAGATGCCACCAGTCGGATGACTATTGCAGGCACAGGAGTGTCTCCAGGGCACAGTGCCAGGCCAGGTCCCACCTAATGTCTCTATTCCTCATCCAGGAGTGCTGTAATCAGCAGGTTGATGCAAAACTGGGAAGGGTTGAGAAACCCCTTGGGCAGGAGATTTCGAAATGAGATTCGGATTAGAAGAAACATAGTGGGTGGGGTTTTAAAGATTGAAGGAGACAGGACAAACTCCCCTCCCAACACTGACACTCCGCTGGATAGCGGGGATACACAGAAGAGCCTAGAATGGGGAGGCAGCAGCACAGGGCTGTGAGGCAGCAGAGAGTTCTGAGTGCTGTTTCCTGACCACCTATCCCCACCCTTGACAAGGAGCCCTGTGTCTGTCCATTCACCAGGCAAAACCACCCCTGCCACAGTGCTTTCTGTCTAGGGCATGTCAGCACCAGCTAGGGGTAGATAGATAAAGCCATGGAGAAGCGAGGGAGGAGGGTGCTGGCAGGAGTGGTAGGAGGAGAACTTGACTATGTTGGACAAGGCAAAGAAGGGGTTAGTCCCCAGTACCGAAAGGAAAAAACAAACAAACAAACAAAAAACCCCAAGGGTGAACGAGCCTGTGACCCCATAGCCTTTGTCCCCCCCAGTGGGAAGGGGCAGCTCCCTCCTTGGGTGGCCAGCAGCTGTCACACTGTCTGTGCCCCCTCACCACATGATCCTATCTGAGGTTGGGCTCAGGACACCAGGCATTGTGTGGCTCCTGGCAGATGCCCACGATATGACGAACACAGAGGAAGTTGCTGGCTGGATCTGAAGCCAGAGACAGAGGTGGACTTGAGAAAAAGAAGGAAATGGAGGAAGTAAGGGAGGAAGAGCGATGCAAAGGATCCCAAAAAAGGAAAAAAAGGAACTAAGAAGGAAAGGCAGGAGAAGTGGCATTCTAGAAGGAGCAAAGAAGCAAGAAAAGAAGACAAAAAAGAGGATTATGTCTCATTTGAAGGAATTAAGAGTGGCATAGTCAAGAATGAGTCTCAGGCCTTAGAAAGCTTGTCATGATGAATAAATCATTCCATTCAGGTGGCTTGATGATGGTGGTACTCTTTGAAGAAGTCAGGACCATACAGTGTAAAAGCCAAGAGTGGGGCTGTAAGAACTAGCTGACCAGCTCTAAACAAGAGGGGCTTATGATTCATGCCCGTACATACCTGCCTCGTGCAGGGTGGGGACCCATCTAACCTGAATCACTGCCCAGCCCCTCCCAGTCTCCTTAGATGACAAGCTGTGGCATCCTTGGTCCACCCAACTCACCCCCAAGCATTTTTCCAGAACAGTAAACAAGTACAGGTGAGGAAGGTCACAGATCTTTTGGTTTGGGGCCATTTTCTCCTCCCTCTCAGTGCTCACCATGTGACTAACCAGGGGTTTCTCATCAGGGGCTTTTTAGTCTTTCTTCAAAGTGGTCAGAAGGTTGCCAGATGCATTCCTCTGAGCTCAAAGTTTATTTCTGTATTCTATTATGGACTGGGAAATCCAAGGTTGCCTGAAACATATGGGAAAATCGTCTCTCATTTTTAGCATGCCCAGTGTTTTCAACAGTTGATGCAAAGTTGACCACAGCTGATCACCTTTCTTGCCAAAATTAAACCAGAGATGAATGTCATTAACTATTACCTCCAACATTTGTTTAGAGGTTTATACTTTCTAAGCAACTCATTTTATTTAATCTCTGTAATAATCCTGCATTACTGTTATTCTGCATTATAGACATTGAGTCTCAGAAAAGGTAATTTTTTATTAATAAATTTTATTTTATCCCATTTCCCCCTCCTGCCCCCTCCCCTCGCTTTGTACAAAAGCTTTGTTTCCATTTTTTTCCTTCTATTTTCATTTTTTTCAGAAAGGTAATTTTTCCCCAGAGTCTAAATTCCTTGGGTTCAAACAGTTCACCCTGAATCAGGTATAGTGGGGTACACCTGTAATCTCAGCCCTCTGGGAGGGTGAAACAAGAGGATCACAAGTTTGAGTCCAGCCTAGACAACTTACTGACCTAGTGAGATCCTGTCTCAAAATAAAAGAATAAAAAAGGGTTGGGGGTGTAGCTTAGTATATAAGCCCTGGGTTTAATCCCCAGTGCCACAAACAAAACAACACAACCAGGATATCCTCTGACGCAAATCCTTGGTGCTTCCTATACAATGTTATCAAACTCTTTAGAGTTCAGAGTGACATCAAGGGCAGATTCTGGTGATCTTTCCTCAATTTGTTCTCTCACTCTTCTTACCACCCATTCACTTTCTGCCCTATTTCTATGACCATCCAGTGGGAAAAGAGTACACTTCTCAGGGAAGAACATCTACATAAAGCAAAGGACTCTAACATTTCCTTTGCCAAGGGCCCTTTCTTTCTCCAAAGTTTCTTTCATGACAAAAGCAATAGGAGAATATTGTAGAAAAAGTACAAAATCTAGAAAAACAAGAAGATAATAAAAATCATCATTCTGCCATTGAGCAATAACTTTAGTCTTCCAAACTCAGTGGTATATAGTCTTCTATAACTTGTGTGATAGATATATGTATGGAGTTACCTAAATTTATAAAATTATAAAAATGGCAAATTTTAATAAATGTTTTGCTTTAAATTAATTAAAATGGCAAATGTACCTACTCCATAATACTGTTTGGGGACTTGTTTTTTAATTTAATATATTGTAAATATTTTCCTGAACTATTTTTATAAAATATTTATTTAGTTGACACATATATCCTTGGAGAGGTCTTTTTTTTTTTTTTTTGGTACCAGGGATTGAACTCAGGTCCTTGTGCTTGCGAGGCAGGTGGCAGAACCACTGAGCTAAATCCCAGGGCCTGGAGAGGTCTTTTTGAGACAGGGCCTCACGGGCCAGGGATTTAGCTCAGTGATTATGCTGCCTGTCTCGAAAGCGCAAGGACCTCAGTTCAATCCCCGGTACCAAAAAAAAAAGTATAAGAGACAGGGCCTCACTCTGTAGTCCAGATCAGCCTGGAACTCACCATGTGCCTCAGTGCTGTGATTGTCATGCTCAACTTCATTATGCAGATATTCCTCATTGAATGACCTGTTTACAGACTGTCCAGGCTTACAACCCACTGCTCAGACTTATGGTTCATCTCTTTTTTTTTGTACAGTTCTGCACATCTTATTTATAGAGTCTCAATGTCTTTTTTTGTATAGTATACCTTGCTTATTACAGTACTGTAATTTTTGCTGATTGTACTGTATAATATAGTGCTGTAGTTTTATGTTCTGTTATACATTACAGTATTGCCTGTAAGAGTTATGCAAATAAAAGCAAAGTCCTCAAATTGAAGTTTCCTTTGACCATTTCTTTGTTCTGAATATTGTAATGTACATACTATATACAGTTCCACATTTAGCGACCAATTCATTTAACGACCTCCTCGCAGGAAGGTAATTTGATCATTAAATGAGGAATGTCTGTAATTTTCAAGGTACTCTAGAGCCAAATACTTTTTGCTGCTCCTCCTTTTCCAAGATTAACGAGTTTTATTATAGTTTTTTGTTTTTTGTTTTTTTTGTATCAGAGATCGAACTCAGGACCTTGCACTTGAGAGGCAGGTACAGTGCCCCTAAGCTAAATCCCTGTCCCTATTACAGGTTTTTAAAAAATAGGTTTTTGTTTATAGGTAAAATGTATCTAATTTTTCTTTGGTTTTGAAGGAAGTTGATTTTTTAACGTGATTGT